CTTGTTCTGCCCCACTGAAACCAGTCTCAGAATCCCACAACTCTACCAGCTTCCTGAGATGTGAGGCAGACGGCAAGTGCCCAGTGCTCCCCAGTTTGTCCCAGGAGATGCTTAGGCAGAGCCACAGCCACAACATGGGCTGCAAGGAAGGCCCACTGTCCCCAGTCCCACTGCTTAGTGTCTCCCTCTATTGTGGGTCCCTGACATTGCTACCACACATAGTGCACCACTTCAGGACTACAGAGCAGCAATGTCCAGTTCCTGGGAAGAGATCCATTCACAGGCCTTCCTTTTAGGGTACCAGCTAAATATTTAATGAATTGATGCCCAGAGCTTTATCTAGGCTATCTGATACTCTGGCTAGGAAATGTTAGCTAAGACATATAGGCCAGTCCTGGATCTCTGCAAAGTCATATGAGAAATTGATTGCTCTTTCTTCATATTTTACTAGGCAGTTATTGTTCTTTAAATGAAAGAAGAACATACTGTTTTAAGATCCTTGAATTTAGGTCTTTATACTTTCAAGTTTTGAATATATACAGTCCTCAAAAGTGATAGGATTAACTAATGTGATTTCTGGAAGACTGGAATTTGGAGGCTTAGGAGAAATGGCAAGGACCAAAAATAGTAAACAAATCCAAATACAATCAGATTAGGAGAATATTGGCAGATTAACAGTGAATCATTTAGATACAACCTGTTCTCAGGTTCAGTGTTTTCATACCACAGAATTCATTTTTTGTTGTTGTTTTTCTTTTTTGTTGTTACTGGGGTATGAACTCAGAGTTTCAGATTTGGTAGGCAGGTTCTCTACTGCTTGAGCCATACCTCTAGTATATGACAGAATTATTTCATAGTGACTTTAAATGTCATAGATAATTAAGATTAAACATTATTGTCATTGACCTTGCAAAATGCCCTATAGAAAAAAATTAGATATTTCATGAGATAAATTTAAATTTAGTTATCTTTCACATCATCATACAGAGGAATGTACATTGAATGCAATTTGTACTGCATTATGAGGTGAGTGATATCAAATGTACTTGAAATTACTTGAATTCACTTTGGTTATTATAAAATAAAGCTGTCTGGTCCTTTCCTCCCTTCCCCTCTTATTTTCAGACAAAGTCCCCCTCCCCGTTTAAAACTAGGCAGTTAGCCTAGCTTGACTTTTATCTGTATTTATCCCTAAATTGTGACTTGCTATAGTTTCATGATGCAATTTTTCTTTTCTCACTGAATAGTATAAGGAATTTTTACTTAGTAGTAGTTTAGTAGTAGTATTTTAGTAATTAACACTGAGATCTGGAGACAACATGAGCACGTTCTGATGATGCCATATTGAGGGCATTATCCAGAACCCAAATGGTCAGGATGATGCATATTTTTATGGGATTTTAGAAAGAGGGATGTTCTTGCAAGATGACCCAGTTTGTTCCTTTGTTCATTGATTTTTTTCAATTCTTCTAGTCAATAGATAGTTGTCTGTATTCTTTTTATGATACTTTCTTTTTTCATGTATTGGTAATAAGACCTTTAATCCAACTAACTTGAGCTAAAACTCTTAGAACGGTACTGTCCAGTATAGTAGCTAATACTCACATCTTGATACTTAAATTAACGTTAATTAAAATGAAAGAGAAATAAATTTAGCTCAGTCATACTGGCTGTGCTTTGTGTGGCTGGATGTTCTGTGGAGCATTTCCATCACTGTGGGAAGCTTAGTTGGATCTCTTGTCTTAGAGTATTACTTGACTTCACCCTCTAGGAAATATCTATCTCAGCATCCTCTTCTACTTCTCGCCTAAGGCATACCTCTCTTAGATTTGTTCCCTTTAAAAGACTCTCCCTTTTAAAAATTGAGGTCTTTATCATGTGTAGTCTGAATTAAGGCTTAAATTCAGTTTCCAGTTCTGTGAATCCTTTCCTGCTGCTGCCTCCAGGGTACCAGTGGTGGTACTTGTGTTCTATTTACACCGTGTGTGATGTCTTTTTGCATCCTGGTCACATGGAATACTACTTTCTTGTTCATGTAAGTCTTTTCTTCTGATAGGCTGAGAAGTGCTTTTGGTAGGGTTTTGGTCATTCCAGGGTAGGAAAATACATGCTGCTTGACATATAACAGTAAAAAATGTGTTTTTTGAGCAAATAGAGAAAAGCCCTGGTGGTTGAAGGAGTCCATAGTAGGTTGCATTCTGAAGGCTAGAGACAAGTTTGGGTACCTAACCTATACACAATGGAATTTTATGCAGCCATGAAGAAGAACGAAATGTTATCATTCGCTGGTAAATGGATGGAATTGGAGAACATCATTCTGAGTGAGGTTAGCCTGGCCCAAAAGACCAAAAATCATATGTTCTCCCTCATATGTGGACATTAGATCAAGGGCAAACACAACAAGGGGATTGGACTTTGAGCACATGATAAAAGCGATAGCACACAAGGGAGGGGTGAGGATAGGTAAGACACCTAAAAAACTAGCTAGCATTTGTTGCCCTTAATGCAGAGAAACTAAAGCAGATACCTTAAAGCAACTGAGGCCAATAGGAAAAGGGGAACAGGTACTAGAGAAAAGGTTAGATCAAAAAGAATTAACCTAGAAGGTTAACACCCACGCACAGGAAATCAATGTGAGTCAATGCCCTGTATAGCTATCCTTATCTCAACCAGCAAAAACTCTTGTTCCTTCCTATTATTGCTTATACTCTCTCTACAACAAAATTAGAGATAAGGGCAAAATAGTTTCTGCTGGGTATTGGGGGGGGGAGCGGGAGGGGGCAGAGTGGGTGGTAAGGGAGGGGGTGGGGGCAGGGGGAGAAATGAACCAATCCTTGTATGCACATATAAATAATAAGAGAAAAATGAAAAAAAAAAGTCCAAAATAAAAAAAAAAAAGTTTGGGTACCTAGAAACTAGAGGTAGGCATTCCAGATGTGGGAAATTACAGGGCAACTGTGCTATATAGTAGCCATAGGAGTCACTATCAGCACCATTCTGCTCTTAACTGTAGACATGAGCAAATTGGAGTGATGGTGGTTTATGTAAATGTGCACCTCTGCTGGCAGTATTGCACCTCTTAGTGGAGGTGCTGTATTTTATACTTAATAGTCTTGACCTGTAGCTTTAAATGACTTAAAGGTATGCTTTCCACTGTGAGACTAGACACTCACAAAGTCTAGTTAATTCTTGAAGACCTTTATGGTTCCTGATTTAGTTTAGAATTGTTAGCAGCTCAATAGGAAAGAAAAATGCATATGTATATGTCCAAAAGGACGTGGCATAATATAGTTAAGAACAGTGATTCTGTAATCGGACAAACTTATCCTGACACTTTTTTTTCCTAGCTGTGTGGTCCTGGACAAGTCACTTTTTGGTCCTCAAGTTCTTCATTTTAATGGAGATCCTACCTGCTTCTGAAGACTAAATGCTAGTTGCTAGCACTGTTGATACCTCCTGATAAACACATTTGCCAAATAATAGCTAATAACAAAAGTAGTAATTCCATAACTTTTCACACAAATGGGAAAATTCTTAAACATAATTGATAATCCAGAAAACACATGATATTGGACGGTTTCCTTGCCCTTAGGCACAGTTAGCCAGATTTAACCATCTCTAAAGTGAAGTGTAATAGTGCTGGTTACTCTCAAAATCATCAAGTAGAGGTAAAATGAGGCCTGGATATTCTAAAACCCAAGAATAATTTTCTGTATTTGTAAATAAGATGATGACTTATGCAGATGACTTAGGAAAAAGCTCACTTTTCTCTTTTATTCTGCATAATCAATAGCATGCTAACAGCTGCTTCTAAGGAAGAGGAAAAAACGCTGTGTGCTGCTTTTGATTTTAAGTAAGCAAAATAGGACATGTTTAAAATAGAGTAGCATTGAGTGATCATTTGGGGTTTTTTTATGTTTTCAAAAGGATGGCATCAGTCTTAACTGTTGGTTTTCAAAACCTACTGGACTATATATAATTCATGCACATTGTGATAATTCTTTTTGGTAGAGTCAAAGTTGCTTTTCTTCTATATGGAAATTGCACAACTTCTGCTTTCCCATGCCTGGGCTACCTTTCCCAACCTCATTCCTCCTTACCCTTCACCTCTCTGAAGCTGTTGGGCATACATCACCCCACTTTTGGGCTGCTTTGTACTCACTTTCTTTTATCTGTCTTATTGCATTAAGATTATCTGCATATATCTGTCACCCAAGTTCTTTTATGAGCAGTCATTTTCTTACTCAGCTTTGTGGGTTTAAGTGTCTAAAGAGGGGTTGACTTATACATGGCGCTTGGTAAAGTTTTGCTGAATAAATGAATGACTGCCTGTTCACTAATTTTTCTTGTATATATTCTTTCCAAGTGAACAACTAGTTTCCTACTTGTTTATTATTCCTTGTATATTATACCTTTTATTACCTAATATAGCACATTGGTGAATACTCTTTTATCAGATTGCTCTGTAGCCTACCTGCTAATACCTTGTCTGGAAAACACTTTATTGGGTCTATTCAGCAGGTATAAAATCTTTATTACTATTTTATCTCCATATGGATTATTGAAATATTTATAACATGGTCATCAAGATTTTAATTAAATTTAAATACTGTTGTGGGAAAAATTAATTCAAGGTTCTCATCAAGTACAGATCTTATGTGAATGAGCAATATGATTTGATTCATTCTATAGGCAATAACAAAGCCTAAAATGCAAATGAACTGAGTAGTTTAGTTGAAGATACCTGTAATATATTTGACTGTTTTAGGAACTTTAACTGTTAATAACTATGAGTCATTGAAGTTAATTTTAGAGTTGGAATTACACAAGAATTCACACATAATATTAGCTTCTTGTTTAAACTAATTAAAAAATAACTAGTTCTGGGGTTAGGATTCCCTTGGTGAAATTATTGAAATGCAGACTTTGAATTTAAGACTGTTGAAGACTTAGAATCATTTTGACTACTGGAATTTAATTTTTAATTTTTTTCCTTTTAGTTTTAATTTTGATTGCTGTTACTACTGATACCTGAGCCAAGGTGGTGATGCTACCTGAGGGAAATCTCTGCAACCCCTGAGTCAACAATTACATGGTAAGAGTGCATGCCTTTTACCTTAAAGCCATTCAACTTCATTAACATTATGGTCTAGATACCTAATTGGAAATGGAATAGCATAAAATATCTTAATATCTTTGAATAATATTTACTGTTAATGTATTTTTAATATATTAACAACAGATAATATTTGCAGTTTCTGATCCTCATCAACAGTTTAGGACTTTGAAAGAGAAAAAACATACTTTGATACATTCATTTCATACGAAAAACACATGACTATCTGGTTTATAACTTATTAAGTGTGCTCTCATTTTCTTCCATATATTTTTTGCCCATTTTTATTTTTTGGGAGTTTAGCCAGTTTTTTGTTGTCTGAATCTTGCTGATAATAGTCATGAGAATTAAAATCTTAAAGCCAATCAATTTTACTGAAATTCACTCTGACTTGAGGTGATGGCAATTCCAACTGTGACTAAAATGAGGTTTTTAATTTATGGACTTTGGTGATCTATATTGCTTTTTATTTGAGGGACAATTGAGGAGTAATGACACATATCAGACTAGTGGGTAAGTCATTCCTTTGTGCTTCACTTTCCTTATGTGAAAAATAGCATCACCAATCTTGCCTGTTTTATAGAGTTACAAAATCCATTGAGGGCTAAGGGTGTGGCTGAAAGTGGTAAAGCATCTGCCCAGCAAGCACAAAGTCCTGAGTTCAAACCCCAGTATGAAAAAAAAATAATAAAATGAGGTAATACATGTGAAATTCTCTTTTCTTCTTCCTCTCCTGTGCCTCTGAGAGAGACTGAGGTGGGGGAGGAGAGGGGATGGAAGGGGAGGGAATGAATATGATTGAATGAATAACAAATCTTTTGATTTTTGAGATGATGTTGAGAGAACACATAAGGTAGCAGAAAGGATGCTGTGCCAAAAGTTGAAAGACTTTATTCCTAATCCTGCCTCACTTTGACTTTGTCCATATCGTTACATTAATTTACTATAAGAAAACCAAGTTTGATTTCCATACTTTTCCTTTACAGGTAATTTTTCAGAAATATATGTGTACTGTCACAATGGAATTAAGCTAAATGTCAGTATCATTTATTGCTAAATGTCTGGCAAGTCTTCAGATATTTTTAAATTAATGATCACATTCAAAGAAGAAGTCAAAGGGAAATCAGAAAATATTTTGAATTGAATGAAAATGAAAACCCAGAATATTAAAATGCATGCGATGCACCTTAAAGTGCTGCTTTAAGGGAAAACTTAAAGTACTTAAATGCTTATGTTAGAGAACAAAAGTTTTGAAACTTTCATCTAAACCTTAAGAAACCTGAAACTGAAGAGCAAATTAGACCCAGAACAAGAAAAAGAACAGAATCAATGAAATAGAGAACAAGAACAAAAGGAGAAAGAAAAAAAATCTAAGTGAAACCAAATGCTAGTTCTTTGAGATAAAATTGATAAACCTGTAGCTATGCTAATCAGGAGCCAAGAAAGAAAAAAAAATGGAAATCTCTTTTACCAGAAAAGAAACTATAGACCCTATAGTTATGGGAATGTTATTTAATAACTTAGATAAGTAGACAAGTTCTGTCAAAGACATGAGCTTCCAAACTGCATACAAGCAGAAATGGGTAACCTGAATAACTCCTTACTAAAGAAAACCCTCCTACAAAGAAAACACCTAGTCTACCAGGCCTCACTAGTGAATTCTACCCACCTTTGATACCAATTGAATACAAAATCTTCAGAAATAGAAGGGACAGAACATGAGTTTATTTTAGGAGGCAAGCATTTCCTGTTACAAGAGAAAGATATTTAATAAAATGTTAGTAAATTGAATAGAGTTAATGACCAAGTCTGGCTGCTTGCCTACACAGCCAATTAGGTCATGGTTAAAGGTGTTGAGACAAGGAAGGTGACTATATTCCAGGTGCTGGTTAGAGGAGAAAATAGAGAATGCTTGTCAGAAAGCCCATCTCATCCAGAAGCTGATTTAGGGTGGTTTTTATAGGTGGTCATGGGTGTTTCTAGACTGGCTTGTGTCTTCCTGCAGTGGGTTGGCTGTTTCACATCTAATCCTTACTGCCTGATCATGAGATGCTTTTCAGTTCTGAAAATCTCAAAAACAAAGACCCCTATTTCCTCACATTTTTCCCATAGCCAATTAGTTACATATTGCCAAGTGGTCAAGGTAGAAGAGGGTTATCTGCCATAAGGCCTACTTTCTGATTTGCCAGACCTCCCAGTAATGAACAAAATATCTTTAATCCTTTGCTTGAATTCCCTACTGACAGATGTCCATTCCACAGTCTGTGGGATAGGGATTGATGTCTCAGATCTGGCTGTTTTCTGCTGAATAGAGGCATTATAAGGGGAAATGGAATGGAGCAACCTTGACCTATTTGGACTTGAATATTGGCAACTATTTGGTGACAAAGTTCTCTGCTTACAATCTAAATGATTTGAAGTATACCTTAAAATGCTTGAGCACAGATGGTGTGAGATCATTAGGATGACATATCACATCCCAAGCACAGTTGACCCAGATCAAGAAATCGTATCCCTGGTGGTCTTGCTAGCAAGGATATAGGCTCCTCTCCAAAGGGGGACTATAGTTAAGTCTTGTTGAAATTTTATTGAATCACCACTACTTTGTTCACCTGCAGTTTCAATATATTCCAGTCTTTTGTTCTAAATGCAACTTTTCATTCTTGTAATTCTTTTACACCTACTCCTAGTCAAGAGGTCCTAATTAGCAGACCTAACACTCCTGGCATAATTTCAGGCAACCCTTGGCCTGAAGTTTGACATCTGACAGTAGGGAACTGAAACAAAGCATTAAAGATATTTTTGTTCATTACTGGGAGGTTTGGCAAATCAGAAAGTGGGCCTTATGGCAGGTAACCTCTCCACTGGGCAAGCAGATAAACACAATAAACAGGCAGAAAGACAGACACAACACTCATTGCCAGCTATCACCTGCAATGGTAAGACTGGCTGGAAGAACATGGATTGTTAGTATAGTTGCCTTTATCATCATTAGGCCATGCCCTGAATATGGTAAATAAGACTAGGAATAGTTCAGCCTAAAAAGATAGTTTCAGAATGAGGACTTGACATATATGGCCAATTGATTTACATGTATGAAGGGGAGGTGACCTTATCTACCATTACATTGCTTTCCCACTGACCACTGACATTAGTATTACAACCTTTACCAGCTCACCAACCTCTAATCAGGGCCAATGGTAAGACAGATTTGTTCTTCTCTAATTAACTGGAGTCTTCTCCATCCTGTCTTTGCTGTCCTCTACTTTCCACCACTGCTTTTCAGGTGTACCCCAGATTCTCAGTATGTCTTTTTTCTTAGTATGTCATTAAAGCCAAAAGAGGGCTCTCATATAATCTGCTAACCCCTGCCTGAGAAAAACTCCACTGCTCTGCCTAGATCTATAAACTATACTGTTATGTGCAAATAACATACATTGTAGAATTCCAGTAAAGCAGATAATGAATCAAACTCCTGATCTCCTGTTCCTACTCTCACCCTAACCAGAATCTGAGCAGGCAACAATGGGCACTGTGTGGGCCACTATTGTTAGTGTAGAGGAGATGCACGAGTTCTTGGAGCTGCTGAGCACATGGTGTCTGAGCCTTATACTCAAGTCCCACACCAGAAACACCCCATGCTGCTGGACCTAAAATAGTGCCACCACCCCTTGCTGGATTAACTGCCCCCAGTACCAGCTACTCTGTTCCTCTGAGTCAAGTTGCTGCCCATGACTGCCCCCAGTCCTGGCATCCACCACCGAGCCGGCCAGCTCTGGTCTCAGGCTTACAGCTCTCTTAGTATTACAGCTCTGAACTTGAGTGTCACCAACTCTCAGTTCTTAGCCTTAGCAGCTCTGAGCACCACCGAGCACCACCAGATCTCAGCAAGTAGTGTTAACAGCTTTCCCGCCTGCTCTCGACGGTCTTCCTAGCAGCTCTCCAGAGCTCACTGCAGCCTGCCCAGCAGCTCAGCAATTCCTTGGCTACTAGGAATCCTCAGGGATAGCAGCTCTTCAGTGTTACCAGCTCTTAGTACAGCTAGCTCAGTACATTCTACCTAAGATGGATATCATGAATAGGCCATAAAACCATCTGAAAGCTTTATTGGGGCTTATGCTGCAGCATAAGAGGGCAGTGCTTGATAGGGAGGTCCCAGACTGGCCTGATGAAGATACAGGGGTGCTGCTTATGTAAACAAAAAGGGTGGGCCCACAAATGGACACAGTCTTTTGCCCGCTAACTAGACTTTCCGCACTGTCATGCCAGCCTATGCAAGCATACTGGGCTCACCTGTTCTGAGTATCAGGGATAGGGGAGGTGCTCCTTACAGACCAGAGTGGCACATGAAGCATCTATAGGATGGCCTGGAGTGACTGTGAGGGGGAGATATCTGGAGCAGCTGTGGCTGAGGCAAAGTCTCTGGGGGCAGTCCTAGATTATCGAGTGCACCTGGGGCATAAGCAAAAGTCTTGATCATTATGATAGCCCTGGGAGTTGCCACTAAGGTTGCCATAATAGCTGCAAAAGTGGTAATGCCTGGCTCCCACTTCTACTGCTGTCATGATAGCCCAGGAAGGTCACAGAGGCAGCAGCAGCAGAACCCTCAGCCCTTGTAGAAGCAATGGCAAGGCCTGTTGTTGCTGTAGAAGTTCCAGAGTCATGGCTCAGGCTCCCAGCAGAGTTACAGGAGCCACAATTACAGCTTAGCTGGGCTGTTTGAAATTACAGCAGCTGTCTTCCATTTGTTCCCAATCTGTGTGCAAGCTGTCTAGCTTATCTTTAAGATAATGGTGTCAATAGCACCAAGCAGCCAGATGTGGGGAAGGGGCTTGAAAACTGTCAGATGAGAAGCCTGGCCACCTGCTCCTGCCAACACTTAACAGTTCCAATTGCTAAAAGTGAAGTAGAAAAGTATCTTTAGAGCATTCTAAAAGCAATGATTAAAAAGTGGAAAACTTTGTCTAATGATGTTCTGG